AACACACTCATTACAAAATCTCAGAGCAAGATACTAATAAACAGGCAGATGATGTCACCTACAGAAAAACTCAGAAGCCACCAAACAAAAGGGCAAGGCTGACTGCCTTGCCTTCACAGTCCAGAAAGCTAGCAATGCCCACTTTCTTCACAAGGCCAGCACTTCTGTGAAGTAGGATTGAGTACCATGTAGGAAGAGAAGAATCTATCCATAGAAGAGATGACTGTGAATAAAATTCTAAGGAATCTACTTTTTAAAGCCACAAACACAAACTTAGCAACATTTCTGAATGTAAAGTCAAGATGCCCAGATCCAATAAATCCCTGTATATTAGCATCTCATGGTTGTGTATCGATATTGAGACATCATCCATTTTTATATATGTGAAACATCCATCATATTGAATGGTTAGAGATGAATGTAACAAAACAGAGGTAAGATCTGCATGAGAAAAACTACAGAACTGTTGAGAGAGACTAAAAATTGGAACAAGCATCCTTCCTTTTGAGAATGGACAGTAAGATAAATGGGTAGAAAGGGTGCTAACTTAGAAAATGGTTAGGTCACAGGAAAACTAGCTGAATGGTGCTTTGTGGGACACAGAGACATGGCTGTTTGTTACTTTATCTTAGAAGGTGGCCTTGGGGAAGTGAAAGCTTAGAACATTGTAGGCAGAGAAGAGAGCATGCAAACGTTGCATGGCTGCATGGCTGGCCTGCTCTGGGAAAGTGTAGAAAAAGGCATGGTGGAAGTGAAGGGTAAAGAAGAGAGAAATGGGCAGGCTACAGGACCAGGCTGGACCTGCTGGTCATCAGAGCCATGGTGATGACCTCTGGGGTGGTGGGAAGCTGATGGTGAGTTACACATTTCAATGATGTAACAATCTGACCACTGAGGGGAGACTGGTTACCAATGGAGTCAAGAGCCAGGGAAGGATCTTAAGGAAATGTGCATTATGTAACACAAATTCTTCTAATTGGTCTGAAAAAAAAAACCAGTCAGATTAATGCTGAAAGATCAGAGAAGCAGAGAGGCAATCCTGTCCCTAGGAATCCTCAGACTGAATGTCTTCTCCTACCTTGTATTCCTCTCTCCTCCCAGCCATATCACTCCTGTCTCCACCTCCCCAGGGTCAGGATAAAAGGCATAAGATCCCAAATGCTGGGATCAAAGACATAAGCTTTGAACTCACAGAGATCTGCCTGCCTCTGTTTCTCAAGTGCTGGGATTAAAGGTGTGTGCCACCACTGTCTGTCCTCTATGGATAACTAGTGGCTTGGCTCCACACTCTGATCTTTAGGCAAGCTTTATTTGTTAGATCACAAACCACAGTGCTCACCCCTAGTTTGGGTGGCAGCTGAAACAGGAGGCTCAGAACATATTTCTACAGAAGATTTTGAGAATTCTGAAGGACTGAATAGAAGATGCAGAAGAGACTTAAGAGAATGGGAGGGAAGATGATGTGGGGGGGTGGGGAAGTGGGGAATTGGCCCTGCTACTGCCTGTTACTTCCATCTGAGAAGCGGGAGAAGCAACAGAAGCTGGAGAGAAAGGACAAAGGACTGAGGGATGAGCACCAGACATCCAGGCAGAGCTGCAAGTTGTCTACTTAAGGCCCTATCCAGGCCTCAGGTGCCTCCACAGGGGATGTGTACACTGAACTCTTCCACAGCACATTTGTGGATTCTAGAGTCCTAGGATTATATGTGCCACTTAGGAAGTGATTTTCTCTAGAAAAGTGAAGGTCCCAATGTTAGACCTGCACCCCTAGAGTTGGAGCCAGAGAATGTGAGAAACTCTAAGAGCAAGAAAAGACTTGGGGGGGATTAATATGTGTGTGTGTGTGTGTGTGTGAGAGAGAGAGAGAGAGAGAGAGAGGGAGAGAGAGGGAGAGGGAGAGGGAGAGTTGAAGATCAAGTATAGACAGTACTGTAGAAAGAGTGGAGGGATAGGTTGTCTAGTGTGGTGACAGCTGAACTATGGTATTTACCAAAACAACACCCTGGAACCTGGAGAAGAGTGATTTGGGCTAAATAGTGGTATGGGATGCAGAAATTTTGGGGAGGGGGGGAGGGATGCAGGAGTTCAGGAGAGTATGGGAACATCAGCTCACAAAATTCTCTCAGGCAGATTTGGCTGGTCAGTCTTGTGAGGATAAGGCAATGTTACCTATACAACAGGTAGCAAAGAATGAATGTGCCTGGGAGCTAAACTACCACATAAGCCCCAATTTACACCTCCAATGGTCAAAGCTGAGAGAAGATCCCATTACAAATTAACTCAGAAGAGGGCACAAATGGCATCTGTGGAAAGTGATTTATCAAAATCTGTTGAACTTAAAAAAAAAAATAACCACCATTCATCAGCATTCTAGCCCTTAAATGCCTAACCTATAAAACCAATTACATGCCCACATCCATAGAGACACGTGGGTGGAGTCTTTGGGGTGGCAATGCTCTTAGTCACAACTAATGGGAGCCGCTGTGTGGTTGTTCCGCTGTTCACAGCTTCTAGATCTGAGATTCTGTGTGGTAAGGTTTGCTGCAACCCTCAGGACTACACTCTCAGAACACTGTGGTCATCTTCATCATAGCAGGAACATATTCAAGCATCCTACACTGGTCCTGCGTTGGTGTGTCAGCTGAGATGGAGCACAGAGTGTTCTGCTTCTTTCTCAGCTCCTTCACTGAACAGTTGCTTTCTTTGTGGACTGCAGAGCACTGTGTCTGCCACATGGTTATTTGTGGGTGCTCTCATGCTAACAGGGCTTTCCAGGTCTAGTGCTCCTGAGATCTGGAAAGTTATAGTGTGTACACCCAATGGAGACAATGTGGGTGCAGGCTCAGCTTTGGGTGGCTGTTATAGTGCTTCTGGCATGAGTTCACTGTATCTTGATCATCTGATAGACATATGGACACAAAGGCATGAGGAGCAAAGCCCTGGGTTCCCCTAGATGTGAGGATCCACTGTGGACTGATTTGGTGTTCATGGTGACTTTTGGAATGCAGCCACTGAGAACCACCCTGCCTTTAGTGAGGACTGCATGAATGAAGGCATATGAAGGTGATATAGCTAGCATGAAGAGCAATAATCCAGACAAGCCAACTCATTGTGATCACTTTCTTAAGATTTCACTACATGAGAAGAAGCTGAGACACAAAGATGTATAAAGAGTTGTCACTTTCAATGACATAGCTCCCTCTCCAAGTGGTCACTGCAGCACTATGAAGTGATGGACACCAGGCCAATGATGAGGGCCTTGGAGGAGTGGGGGAGGAGTCAGAGCAGGAGTGTGTGCAAGGACAGAGGGCAGGGTAGGTTACAGGAAACTCGTGGGCCCATATTCATACTGAGGGCCAGATAGGAAGGAATTTGGCAGAAAAGCAAGTATACCCTCTGTGTGCTGACTCCCAGGGATTCCCACAATGGTGAAGAAATAAGTTACAGAACAGCATATAGAATCTGCTTCTGTTTTAGTAACAACTCTGCTTAGCATATGTTTCCAAATATAAGAATGAAAGAAAACGATGATAATTAAGCATCAAGAAATTGGGGATCTTATAGGAAAATGATGTTTGTTTTTATGTTTGTTTCCATTGATTTTCTCCAGCAGACACAATAAGGACTGTTTTGTTGAAACTTGAAATAAAGCACAAATAGAATTTTTGAAGGCATCAATTAGCTACATTTTGATCAGCTAACAAAGAAAAGATATAGCCATACTTAATGTTATTGGTTCACTGCTTAATTTATCTCAGTAGAAGATTTTTTTCTTTTAAATTTATTTTTTTTATTTTACATGTTGATCCCAGTTCCCTCTCCCTCCTTCCCTCCTTTCTTCTTCCCCTCTCCCCCCCCCCTCACATGCACCCTGACCACCCTCCCCTCCCTTCCCCCCACCCCAATTCCATACGTAGGGCAATGCCATCCAGGTGGGATCATGTAAATCTGACAAGTCATTTGAAGTAAGGACTAGGACTTCTCTCCTGTATCCCTCCATGGAGGATGTGTCCACAAGGTCCTTTTGTGCACCAGGAATACATCCTGGCTCCACTGTCTGAGGTCCCTTAGACTACTCAGTCCTTCTAGCTGAGACCCATATTCAGGGGGGTCTGAGTCAGTCCCATGCTGGATTCCCAACTATCAGTCTGGGGGCCAGTTAGCTCCTCCTTGTTCAGGTCAGCTGTCTCTATGTGTTTCTGCAACCTGGTTTTGTCCTCTCTCTGTGTGTTTAGTTGTGGGTGTTTGCTTCTGTTTCCAACAAGTACTAGATGAGGGCTCGATGATGGTGGATAAGTTAGTTGTTGATCTCATTATCAGGGAAGGGCATTTATGGTAGCCTTTCCACTGTTGCTCAAATTGTTAGTTGGAGTCAGTCTTGTAGGTCTCTAGACCTACAAGGAGTATGGTTTTTCCTCCTGCCACTGGTCTTGTCCCGCCACCACGACAGCCCAAATTAACACAGACACTCTGTATTTGATATAATTCTGTTGGCCAGGTACTAGTTTCTTATCGGCTAGCTCTGTCTTAATTATTAACCCATTTCTGTTAATCTACATATTTCCACATGCTTTCGTCTTACCGGGGAATGGGGCCTGCATCTGGTCTCCCCAGTCTCTCCATGCTGACTCCTCCTTCCTACTTCCTCAAATCCTCCTTGTCTCCTAGTCCGTCCTATCTTCCTTTCCTATTGGTCAACATTGCTTTATTCATTAACCAGTATGAGAAACATATTTACAGAATGACATCTCCCATCATCCCTCTTTTATGTTCTCTTTCTCTCTCATCTCTCTCCTCTGACTTCTATTCCTACCCTAACTCAATCTTCCTAGTCCCACATGCTTTCCTCTCCTTCCCTTCTCTTTCTCCTATTCCCTCTCCATTCACTGCCCCCCCACTTCCCATGAGGATTTTGAGGATGACTCCAGTGTTGATAAAAGACTCAGAGTTGTTACAGGCAACACCTGTAAATTTTATTTTCCTTTTTTTCCCCCCTTTAGGAATCCTTAAGAGCCATCAGATATGAAATATCCCCGGATAAAGAATATGCGTTGTTTTCCTATAACGTGGAACCGGTGAGTCTGACTCTATCCCTTATGTTGAAGCATGGTTTTCTATTCTGCTACCTTCTGAGAATGCTTCCTGAATACATTTTCCTTGTGTTATCAAATCCTAAGAGTTTGCATTCCTGGGACAGCCTTTTTCATGTGTTATACTGCCACACAGGAGAGACATGGCAGGAAAAATAATGACTCCTTTTAAGAGCTATTTTCTGGGATGTTCTGGAAAGATGGGTCTCCTAGGATACCTCTTGTACCTTTATTCCCCAGTTTCCAGGGAAATGATCAATTTTGGCTCTTAAAACAAAAGGCAGTTGCTGGTGGACTTTGCCTGCTCTCCCTGGCCATGCCAGAGCCCTGATGAAAGCTAGGTCGCTTCCCCTTATGTATATTCGGACTTGGTGGTACTTTATGAGTTTCCCTAAAACCTTGCTGAAATTTTCTGTAAAAGTCTCACCCAGGGTTTGAGCAGCTACCTAAACATCCATTCCCTGGCTGATTTTTCTCGTTTCCAGCCCTTTACAGTTCGCTGGTCTCCAGTTCTCCTGAGATAATCTAGTTAGTGTTTCTAGCCCCTCCCATGGGTCAGAGTCTCTGAGAAGTGTCTCATGTCAGGAGGCTCTGTGGTGAGCCTTGCATGAGAGGGGTTTTGATTTCTATCTTATGGCAAAAACTAAGAAATTGGTGTCTGCAGAGCAGTAAATGATTCTAAAATTTTCTTAAGAAGTTTGCAACCAGGTTATTTGTGGATATTTCAAATTTATGTTAATAAATTTAAACCTTTGAAACTCAATCTTAATTTTTGAATGTTATCCAAGACTGTTTTCAATCTCAAAATTCTTGGGGACAATTGGGCATCTGGGTCTATTTGATCAGGTGAGTCTGAATTTTAAAAGAAGAACTTTTTCCTTGGCACTGTCTTATTTGCCTTACCCAGCCCTCCACTGGTCACCTTGAGCTTTGTGCAGCTAAGTATAGTGTCCACAGAGCACAACTCTTTCAGTTCCTTTCATCCCCTCAGAAACCTCCAAAGTATAGAGCAAACAGGTACCTGAAGTACTCTGGATTTATTGCTCTAGACTGAAGTTCAGGTTGGCTTGAATCATTGAATCATTAACCCAGCCAGCAATGGGATCCAGTGTGTCCTGCCCCAGCCAGCAGTGGAATCCAGTGTGTCCTGCCCCAGCCAGCAGTGGGATCCAGTGTGCCCTGCCCACAGAAGCCTTCAAAGAAAATCTTGTGTTTGTTCCTCAGAGTGTTTTGAAGGAGGCTGTCAGGTACTCACTGGAACAGGTTTATTCTTGGGCTTGTTTCCACATATCTATGTGTAGAAGGATCCTGTGCCAATTCTCTCCCTTTCCCCAGGATTCCTTTTGAAAGGACACCTTGTAGTCCCATCACAATTGACAGTCATTTGGTACAACAGGAGTCTTTACCACATGGGACACTGGCTAGAAATGAGACCTCTGATGTGACCCTTTCTCACACAGCAGTTTTTATTGAAATTTAAGGCCAAAGACAAAAGTTCCATTTGTTTTCTTAACCAAGGGAAAATACAGGAATTTGAAAGGATTCAGAGAACAATAAAAGTTTAAATATAAAAAAGTATTTGCTCTTGTGATAAACACCATGAGCAAAAGCAACTTAGAGTAAAGGATTTCTTTGTCTAACTCTTCCAAATCATGAACCTTCATCATGGGAAATTGAGTTCCTACCAGAATTTAAGACAGGAACCTGGAGATGGAAACCATAAAGGGAGAGTGATTGGTCCACTTTCTGGCTTGCTGTCAGCTAGCTTCCTTGCACATCCCAGACCCACTTGCTAGGAATGATGCCTCCAACAGTGGCCTGAGCCCTCTCTTATCAATCAAGGCAGTTCATCAGACTTGCCACAAACCACTTGGACAGAGGCAGTTCTTCAGCTGAAGTTCCTTTTTCTCAAATGATTCTAGACTGTGTCCAGTTTACAATAAAAACTAGCCAGCAAAATGTGAATTCCATAGCTAAAACTACATTTTACTTCTAACTTGAACAGAATTAGTTGCTAATGGTTTCAGTATTGAGTAGCTACCATATCATTGTGAGCACAGATTCCCAGAATCCCTTCTGCTTCTGGAGGAGACATGAAAGGAGATGTGCATGGATTCCTGCCTGTCCATCTGGTGGGAGGACTTCCTAACCAGATGAACAAACATTGCTAGAAAAGGGGGTGGGTGCTTTTGCGGAGAAAGTCTTAACCTATAATTATAGAATAAGTGGAATAGAACAGGGCTTCCTGAGCTGTGGTTAGTAATTATTATTAAGAGGGTTAGGTTAATAATATAATGATTAATTTACTAATAATATAAAAAGAACTCATATGCAAAGAAATCTAAGAACTATAATTAAAGTTGAGAGCTTCCTGACTGGAGCATACATTGAAAGGTTTGGTATCCCCAGGAGTTACACAGCATTTCCCAAGGAGGTACTTTTTTTTTCAGTTTTAACATAGTATTTGTACTAATTTTTTTCATATAACATTTTCTGATTACATTCCTTCCTCTTACCCAACTCCTCCCAGATACCTCTTACCACCCTATCTACCCAACTTCATTCACCCTCCCTCTTAGGAAGAAAATGCAAAACAAAAAAATGCACACAGGAAAACATAGGGGTTGTTTTGTTGTTGCTGTTTTTTCTTGGCCATCTACCCCCAAGCATGTGGCCTGCCCCAGTGTGGTCGACACACCCAGTGTCACTCCACTGGAGAAAACCAGTAGGCATCAAACTACAAATACTTCTTGGTTAGGGTTAGGATTCCACACTCATCTCCCTGTAAAAATATAAATTATTAAGTATATTTGAGAGAGAATAAACTCAATTGTATTTCCCCAGTGTTTCAGACATAAAGCATCTGTGGGTCCATAGGCAGTGTACCTGGGATGTGGAGTATTGTGTTTCTATGTGTGTGCTCCCAGCCAATTGTTTCTATTTTCTATTTCCACCATCTCATATCTCCTCTAAAGAGTACTACTGTCTCAAGGAGCTAATGTTTGTTATGTTTCAGAGATAGAAACGACTTTCTGTCATAAGGCACATCTTCTGGAGAATCCTCTTAGAACTAAGCTAGATGTCAGGGGAATAGTAGTTTTTAATTTGTAGTTTGAAAGTGATGCTAACTCCCAATAAGAAAAAAAAGTGTTTAAAAACAAACTTGTTTCATTAGTGCAATCCTGTTCCTTCATGCAGAGACTGTCTGACAAGCATGACACATTTTCTAAACTCTACAGAGGAAGAGAAAATATAATTGAAATTGCAATATCTTAGATCATCTCAAAATATAGATACACTTTGTGAAAAGGAAGAGAATTTCTATCTGCAAAAGATTCTTCCTTAGATAACACTTTCTTTAAAAGACCTGAATAATTGTAAATAATTTGACTTGCGTGTTTAAAAAGATGACATTGAGAGGGGCTGTTTTAAAGCCCTTTAACACCATTGTGTCCCAAATAAAATAGCATTTTACCCAAAAGATGATCTAAATCAGTCACAGATGCATGTAAACAAAAGGCCTCAACATTCAGTGGATTAAAACCGTGTCCATTATCTTGTGGTTTCTGTGGGTCTGAAATCAGGGCTCAGGTTAGCTGGATCTATTGACTTTGAGTCAACAGGCTGATGTCAAGAGTCATTATCATGCCTGGATGAGGTGTCAGCTCTTGAGAGGCTGAGGCAGGAGGATTGCTATGAGTCCAGTATTATAGCTCTGAGGAGCTATATAGCACATTTATGCTACTGATCATAAATATCCAACAGTGAGACAGTAAGATTCATCTCTCTCCAATAAACTTCATTGTAAAGCAAGTACTGAGTTGCATAAGGAGTTACAGATCAAGACCCTGTCTCAAAAACTGTTGTCAACATCATTGTTGTCATCCCCATCAACACCACCACCACCATTATCATCATCATCTAGACTACAGTCACATCTTGAAGCTCTAGTAAGGAATGGTCCATTCCCAGTTCCTTCACATGGATATCCTCAGTAACTCCCCCAAAGACCCTCTGAAACACAGTGGCTTGATCCTCAGAGCAGCAAGCAAGAAGCATATTGACGGGCAGGTGCCACTCATTATTTCTGATCCATTATGTTTCCTCCTCATTTTACCACAGTCCATTTGCTAGAAGATAGATACTGTGTCCAGCCCATCACAAGAAGTGTGGACTGACAAGTCAGGAAGTCTCTGAAGCAGTTCTCAAGCTTACCACCTGTGGCTATATCCCTCTTTCTCACATGATTCCCAAAGCCCCAAGAAGTCAGAAGCAAAGAGGTTGAGCATGATCTTGAGAGAGTGCTGTGCTGGAGATGGGATATTTCCCTCACTCTTCTTCAAGTACTTGCATTACAACAAAGTTTACTGGAGAAGGGAGATGACCCAGGATTAGGATGCAAGCCAATATGGGTAACAACGTCCCTGCCTGGGTTCCATACAGATTTAAAAGGAACCTAACACAGTTCTTAATAGGCAGTGCTCCTCTGTCTTGCTGTCTCACTATTGTTTGTTCAGGATCAGTAGACTAAAGATATAATATAGACCCACAGAACTATAGTACTACTGTGATTGTCTTGAGAATCCCAGTTTAAAAAAAAAAAAAAAAAAAAAAAAAAAAAAAAAAAACTTGGTGTGTGTGTGTGTGTGATAATTTAACTACCAAATCTAAAATTTAGCAACAAATTTATATAGTTAGATTTCATTGAGTTTGCTGGTACCTTTCTTAAAAGAGTTGTATACATTATGTATCCAGAAGAAAAATATCACCAAAAATGAGCCCATATTTTATGTTCATCCTTACTGATGGCAACCCTGGCCAGCTAGGGTGGCAATCAAGTGCTTTGTTATTCTATATACATATGATGGTTTGGAGAGATGACTTTGAGTCTCATACCTAGTGTCATTACCAAGTATTGTGTCTTTTGGCCATCTCCTTCATGCCCGCGCTGTGGGCATTGGCACTGAAGCCAGAAATTGACCTGT